TTATCACATTCCCCTATTTATTAAGTTTACTTGATTTATCATCATCCAAAATTAATTATTCATTTCATGTATTTATGGTTTTATTTCCTCTCCTTGTCTATCTAATTTATTGCACTAAACAATGTTAATATTTGTTGAATGAATGAGAGAGTGAATTAGTGAAGGTGTCAAGTACTTTTTATACTTGATGAATAATTGCAAATCCTTCTGCTCTGAGAAGTGACATGGCTTGCTCAAGACTATTGTTTTATCTAAAGGTCACATGAATAATAAGACTGAACTTATTCTCTTTAACCCCAAAGTCCATGCTCTTTTCACTACACCCACTAACTCTAAGGACTGACATCTCTATATTTGCCTCATGCATCTCCATCTCCTGGCTAGCCCAACATGCACAATAGAGGGTGTCGTTAACATCTGTACATCTGTAACAGCTGTGTTCCTATTAAACCTTCTGTGTTTCTCCCTTTCCATAAAATATGGGGAAAGACCTAGGAACTGGGTTATCTGTTCTTGCCACCTCTGCCGACACAACCCTTGGCATACTGAGTATGTTCAAAAAGTGTTCAATGAACTCAATTACAGTCATGATGATGGCCAACACAGTATAGCATCTTACCACATATCAGATGTGTCATGTGCAGTATCTTCCTTGATTAATCCAATAGCCTTATACAGATAATGAAACAGAGACTCAGAATGTCCTTCCCAACACAGGGTGATAGAAGTTCAGCTGAAACTCAAGTTTCTCTTTTATTTTCCTTCAAGAGTTTCTTAACCTCCAAACCTCTCGTTTAGCATTTCTACTTGGTGAGCTGCAATTCAGTCTTCTAGACTCAACAAAAACTTCATCTCTGTAACCCGAAGAGAGTTTATAGAAGATATCTTCATAAAACCTGGAAACAACCAAGATACCCTTGAACAGGGTAATAAACACATTGTAGTGCATCCAAACAATATTATGGAATAATACTCAGCAATAAAAAAGGAATGGTCTATTAATTCATACAGAAACATAGATGGACCTTGAAAGCACTTTGCTAAGTAAAAGAAGTCAGACCCAGAAGGCTATATGTTGCATGACTGCATTTATGTGACTTTAAAGAACACATAAAACTATGATCAGTGGATGCTAAGTATTGAGAGAAGGAGGAAGAGCTGAATTTTAGGATGAATTTCTCTGAATTTCCCAGAGGAAATTTTAGGATGATGAAACTCTTCTTTACAGTGCTGGGTGGTGGATACATGACTATGCATTTATCAAAACTCATGTAACAGTATATATCACGAGGAATACAAATTAATAGAAAAATCAACCATCATGTTGGGAAATCTCAGAAAGGGAAGCAAACAGTGATTAATTAAATTAGTTGTACTACAAATGTAGGATGTGAAATCTGGTGAAAGTTACAGAAACTATCTCCAACTTCATTGCAACTCTTCTGTGAATCTAAAATTATTTCAACATAAGAACCTGAAAAACAAATGAATCTTCCTGTATAGAATTTTTACATCCTATTTTTCTTACCTATACCTTACCTAACCTATACCTCAGAATAGATACCATTCTTTCATATTAAACATTACATAGTAAGTTCCACTTTCTCATATATACTTCGAGAATCTTTCCTATCCAAAGTAAAGAGAAACATGCTTCTCAAAGGTGGCCATTAATCTTGTTCTTGTTAACTGAAGTTTCTGATTTGACAAAGATGTGCTCTCTTCTCCTCAGTATTTTCAAGATATTTATTTCAAGATACAAACAAATATAGACATCAAAGGGGTGTTTTCCAAGTTGGACAATATGAAAAGGCAGAAAAAATTCAACCCCAAAGTTCTTTGAATCTTGGCTTAACAAATCTTACATGTTTCAAGAATTTAAACTTTCTGCTTAAATATAGAACTCTGATTAATTACATAAAGCAGCAGGGAGGTTATTCAATTAGTATAAAAAGATTCAAGTTCAAATTGGAGGATTAATTTTCAGGGTCATGACATGAAAAACATGGTGATTAAGTTAGGAAGTAAAGGCAAAAGTCTCTCAAATCTGAATGGAAATAGTATCTGATTCAATTGTTTGATTAAACCAATCCTGGGAATGATGTAGAATCATAACCTCTGACATAAAGGTTGAATTATAGAGTAAGCCCTGTGGATGACATCATACTAAATGCTTTTACCATGATCTGCCTTAATATAATGTATACTGATGTACCAGAGAAATAAAAATGAGATTATTACTTTAAAATGTGTACAGCTTAAAACCTAAAAAGATGAGGACAGCTAACTAGAGTAGCACTTTTCTGAAAAGGCTTGTGGCAATTACATTACACCTGTAAACACATGTAAAGGTACCAGGCTGGATAATCTGCATTTTCTGGAAAATAAACTGGAAATACATTTGTCTTCTTGTTAGGAAGTTTCCTGGACACTTGGATTTTGAAGGAGATGGGAAAGAGACAGGATGGAGATAGTTTTTCAGTAGATTTTATTATTTCCAAGGAATATGGGGGTAAGGTCTAGTTCATAGCTTCTCCTAAAGCCCCCATCCAACCCCATTCTCCTTTTGATCCCCCACTTACTTGAACCCTTTCCACCCCCAGCCCATCACCACTCTCTACGCACTCTGCCTTTTTTCTTCTTCTTCTTTAAATCAGACCAGTGGACCATGGTTTGTTCTGGTGCTGAGTTTCCTGTTGGAGCAAACCCACTGCCGGTGGGCCTTAGCTCCTCCATCAGGAAGCTAGTGGTTTTGTCCACAGCCCACTCCCTCTGTGCAGGGCATTTACCCCCGGCTCAGGCTCCCTTTCTCCTCCTCACTCGCTCCCTCTAGAGGGCGCCCTGGGTGGAGCAGAGGCGTGGGAGGAGCCCTGCCTCACCTCCCCAAGTTGAAATCCCGCCACCGCTCTTGAACCGTGCAGAGCAGCTTGGAATCCGCGTGTGGATGAGGCCGCAGAAGCCGCCACCTCCCGCTGCGCAGAGGCACTGGAGCGGCCAGGCGCACAGCCGGACTGGAGAGGTGGTGCCGCTACCTTCCAACTTTTCCCACCTTTTCCCCACGCTGAATCGGAGAGAAGTTCCAAACCTGAATCGTGCTGCAGCGATCTGCCCTGAGCTGCGATCCTAGGGGAGGGAGTTTA